CCCTCGCTAAGTGTGTTTCGGCTAAGTCACGGGTAGTTGGATGGCTCCCAAAAATTTTATTGTGTTTTGATGGAAACTTTGAAGTAGAAGAACTAATGTTTGTCATATCGTGTATTCAGTTGGCCGTTAGATGGCTGGAGGAAACAACTTAACATCTACTGGCCGTAAATTACTGAGCTACAAAGGGTGTCAACGGCCGTATAAAGTCGCAGCTGTACGTACTTCTCAACCCTGTGATAAAGCTAACTCACTGCAATAAGTTAAATCCATGCAGACATGGACGCTGTGATGTTGTCCAATAAAGAAAACGTATTATAAATAAACGTATGTGTGTACATGTGCTTTTTATCAATTTTTAATGCATAAACTTCCCTTTTTACAAGACCCCTCGGTAAGTCCTCGTTTTTAGCTTGGATCCCATCACTCGCGACTTAGCAAGAGGCCACTGTATGTTAGTCATGCAAAACTTTCAGATATACAATGTAAGATCTAAAAGGTAAATTGCTCAAAAGTCAGAATTGTTGCATGAAAAGTAGTTTGATAACCATACTTTTTTGTCTGGGGTTTGTGAACAACAGCATGAAAAGAAATTTAATTAATTTTTTTAATTCAACAAATCAGACGAGTTTAGTGTGCTACTCTCTAAAATTTTCAAAGTGGTTTCATTTTCTCTCATGATGAAAGAATTAACTTTTTGTGCGCTGAAGTATAAATGCAGTTATCATCCACAAAATAGAGAAAAAAGTTAAAACGTTTTAATCAAAACTAAAAACAATGTCATATTTAGTTTGTTTAAACCTAAATAACGATGAAAATTACAGAAAATGTAAAAAAAATTACACCAATTATGAACATGAAAAAAATGTGGTTAGTGCAGTTTTCAGAATACATTAATAATTACTATATATAATAATACCTCTTTTTCAGTTAGAAGTGATGGGTCTATCATTTTTTGTTGAATTGGTACTAAGGTGACTGGTTCAAAGTTCAGAAACTCTTTCTGCTTGAATTCTGCCTTTTTTACTAGAACAACATTTTCTACTCGTAAACCAAACGCACCATCTTCGTAATAACCAGGTTCTGAAAAATCAAAATCAAATAATTTCAAAATAACATACTACAAAAAAACTTGCATGAAAAATATACCGGATTCTGCTGTGATAGGCCCATCCAAAAAAATTCACAGCTGGTGGGCCCTTATTTTGGGGTTCAAAATTTCAAAAAATGATCATCAAATAGTTTTGGGGGACTATTTTGGTTGAAAAATCCACCTACGCCGACTTTCAATGTCGGCAGTTGACGGAAGAAACTAAGCTACCGGGGGTAATCTAAAATTTGATACATTTTTTTTTCTTGCCTAAAATTTCATTACAATGTCAACCAGTGTCATCTTTCTCTAAAAAAGAGGTTTCAAATAAAAAAACGAACACAACTGCATTGCTCAGTAGCAAATAATCCGGTCATGCTGCGTTTCATAATTGTTGATTATTACTTGGTAGTGATTATAATAAAGTAAAAAAATAAATTTGTTGAATTGTTATGAAATAAAAATAAATTTCAACTTAGTTTCATTGTAAGTGTATGATTCTGGTCACATATTAAACGCTCAATACTATAGAATATCTGCCATGTTTTGACCTGGGACGGTTTTCTTTGACCTGATCAAACAAATCACTAATTAACCAATCAAAATGATGGATGATGTCAAAGTGTCAATAGCTCATTTAAATATGTTAATGAACGCAACATGGAAAAGATTTTTTGGCTTGGATTTTGATTGGAAAACGACATGATTTTTTATTAAATCAAAAAATTAGTTGTTTTCAAAATATAAACAGCGCATTTGAAGAAAAATTTAACATTGTTTAAAGTGATAACAGCTCATTGTCGAAAGAGGCTTACCCATTCACGCTAGTCACAATAAACATATGTGTCAATGACTATGGTAATATTTAAGTTAGACGTTAGGAAAGATTGATTATTTTAGACGTTAGGAAAAATTGAAATAACACCTTAATAAACTGCCAAAAAATGTTAAAAACTCAAACTACTGTTTAACGGCCCAGGGCGAATTTATGGCAGAATCCGGTACATGGTCATGTACCAGGTATTAATATATTAAGATATTTAGTTTACAGAGCTATTACATGTATATCAAAACCTGTCCAAACTGAAGATCAGAGGAACTGAGAAAATTTACCAGCTTACAGAGGTCTTATAGTGAAACCTATCTAAACTGAACATCAAAGAAACTGAATATGATACGAGGGACTGTAGAGACTCTGGATATCTTACCATCTGAGAGGAACATGCCAGCAGCTAGTGGTACATCATTAGCTGTGGGTCTGTAACCAATACTACATGGACCCTCATGTACATTGAGATGAGAACCAACACCATGGCCTGTACCATGCCCATAATCCAAACCACCTTGCCATAGATATTCACGTGCTAGTGTATCCAATTGAAAACCTGTAAAGAAACATTCACCAAGTCAGCCATCAATCTAGAAACAGAAAATATAAATGTTGTCTACATTTGACGAGACAGAATTGTTTTTGAAAAAATACTTCCATAGCAATAAACAATAAATTTTCAATTCCCTTGAATTTCACTTTTGGATTAACTACAATCAAGTAATTCCTATATAATAAATTGGACATATCATTTGATACTACCTTATAAGGAGATACAATTTCCATACAAGGAGTGCACAGTTGTCTACAGTCATGTACATTTTATCATTACATAGAGTTTTTGCTCAGCGTGACAAAACATTGCTGTCAATAAATCCTTCACTGGAAGCATCCACAGATACATGAAACAAAAACAGCAAGTGATGTATTTATGCAGTTTTAATATATAATCTCTGTATTTTGGTAAAAAATATTTCAATTTTTTACTGAATTTAATTTTAATTTTAGGACCAAACAGACAAAATATGGCATTGCTTCTCGTTTTTGAAATTGAAATTTTCATTAGCATTATCTGTGGAATTAAAGAGCAGACTATAAGGGGAATTATTTTGGCAATGGTGTGTAATGTTGACTGTGGTGCACAGAGGCCCAAATCATTGTGATTCCAGAATTTTATGACAATCGTTTTTTTGCAAAAATCACGAAGACACCATGTTGTAGAACCCCAGAAAAATGTTCACTGACTTTCATGAGAATTTGTCACTTGTGAAATTAAAAAGATTTATAGTATTCTCAGAATATTGCATTTGTCATGATCATTGTCAATGACATAGTTCTCATGTGTTATAGACACAAGATATGACGTAATGTGTGACGTATATGTGATGTTTTAACTTGATTGGCTAGGCATATATGAAACTGCATTCATTTAAACATGACCACTCATTAGTCATTTTGGATTTGATTGTGACTAAAATGCATGTAAGTTTGTCTGATATGACGTCTGATGAATGTGTGAAGTTGATCGGACCAGGCATGACTGATATATGAATCTGAATCTGGATTCCTTGAAACCAAGTAGCTGCCAGTCAGCCATTTTGGACTTGATCCGAAAAAATAAAATAACATGCATCAAAGTCCCATTGTGTTTAATGTATGTACCAAGATAAAACTAAATCTGTCTACACACAACAGAGATCCAGTTCTGGAATAGTGAAAATGTGTGATTTTGATGTACTTTTGGCATTAAAAATTGGCTGCCATTCGACCATCTTGAATCGGGTCATCAGCAAATGCATGTGCACATATCCGATATAATGTCTGATGTTTGTGTGGAGTTTGAACTGTGTTAGATATGGATGGATTTGGACAGATGCACACACAGAGGCCTGAACAGGGACTAATATGGACAATGTGCACAGATAAGGATATTTTCATTCCTTAACAGTGCTACTACAATACAACTTTTTATGAATTTTTTACTGGTTGAACAAAGCCCTTGTTAATTTCAATAGCATTACAATTATAAATACGTAAGTTCTTATTTCAGTTTTTCTTTGCTTATTTGTTTGTTTGAATTGAACGTCTTTGTGAATATTAATGAATACATAATGCATAGTGATATCATTTGGAATAAATTGACTTTGTATGAAGAACTCCTCACCTTTGGTTCCGACTGGAAAGACTGCAGAAGAAAGTGCTATGTGTCCCTTTAAAACCCTTGTGTAACATTCCTGAAGAAAACATGGAAATCTCACGATTATTGGTTACATAAAAAAATCTCTGAAAAAACATTCAGATCTGATTACTGATACAAACATGCATAAGATATCAGATAAATCAGTGTCACTACACATTTAGCATTAAAACAATGGGTCATGTAGACATCCATGAATGTAATTGTGTTTCACGCCAAAAAAACAAAACAAACTTATGTTGCCCTCAAGTCGAAAAATTGGGTCAGTCGGATTTTTTTTTTTTTTTAATTTGTGAGAAATAAGAGTATTGTAAATATCCAAGGCATGTCAGAGAAATACAGATCAACTTGAGGTTCAAAGTCGCCACTTACGGGGACTCTGGGGGTCAAACAACAGTCCGGAATTCTTAATTTTTAGAGGAAACACTTTTTACTGCTTAAAATTTGTAATATTTCGGCCTATTAAAAAAAACAAAAAAAACATGACCCGATATTTCATATTTTTCGGTCGGTCGCTGAGGGCAACAAAACAATTTATTTTGTTGGCCTTATAAACAACTTTTTGCGAAGAAAGACATGCTTGTATTTCAAAATGTTTTATTTCATATGATATGTACCAGAATAAGCAAGCTTTAATTTTGTGAATGGAATTTTAGTGAAAACTAATTTGAAATGGATGCAAACAGAATGAGTTTTATTGTTATTTTACATGTTCTCGTAGATTTAATTTAGCAGATTTTACTTATCAGCGAAAATAGCAAAATTTAAACCCAGTGAATAATTAATGCATTTACAGTATTACCAATATTGTGACTTTCAACACTCTTTACTAAAAATAAACAAATCACTCTTAATTTAACTTTAACTAATTCTATGTGCAAAATAGCACTGCGTTTCAAGTTTTTACATTGTCCTATATGGGGTGTTTATTATAGTAAATGAGACCTGTAACTTTAGCTTGTCTTATTACTATAGTAAAACCCTATATTCTCATATCTCCTAAAAATGTTCTATGAGTGTTACTTGATTTGAACGAAAGAGACGTTTTCTAGTGAAAACAGGACAGCCATTGTTTATTGATTTACACATATCTAACCTTTTCATGTTGACTCGGAGTACCAAAATGCATAGTTCTTGTGGTATCGGTAGTGCCATCTCTATGGAAACCAGAAATAATATTAGATTAATACATTAAATTTGGTACATCACACTTTGAGTACATAAAACATAGACCAATGGCCCGATGCTCACCAGCTATTACAACTAATCATATTAATAAGATTTATAACAAGACATTTTGTTTTTCAAATTTAATTGAAGTTGGCTGACTGGCAGCCATTTTGTATTCTATTTGATTCTCAGACACACTTTCACATTTTTTGTTTAAATTTGGCACAAAGGCAAAACAAGATAAGGATTGAGGGGAGGGGAAGAGGTACACTGATTTCACTTACTTGTATTGTGCACCAGAATCACAGAGATACACCTCGTTACAGTTAATCAATGTATCTGATTCTTCTGTTGGTTTGTAGTGTATGATAGCACCATTTGATCCAATGCTGGAGATGGTAGCAAAGCTCAAACTGACATAGTCAGCTTGTTGACTGAAATAATAAAATAAATGACATTCTGTCTTTTTTGTTGGTGAAAAAATCAGCTTTTAAAAAACATTGAAGAATCTATGGCAACAAATTAATTTTCTACTCAGTTATCAACCCATTCATGATGTATTTTTTTTTTATTCAATTTTTTTAATTTTGATTCAAATGGACATAATTATGTACGAGTCTTGAGGAGAATCTATGAATGGTGATATCAGTTACCTTCAAAATCCAATTCACAGGCAAGATGTTTCCTGATTGGCTTGCTAACTAGTATTCATGGGCCATCTTTAAAGTCACTTCTAATGCACACAATGAGGTGTTCCCTGATTGGCCTGTTAACATGATTTTATAGTTGGGCAGCCAATCAACAACCATCTTATATAATACCTGACAAGGGAACAGAATTAATGCACAATAATTTACCTTCGAAGTTGCTCTGCTTTATCCACTGCAGTAATTTCTGTAATTTTACCTTTAGGAACCTGCAAACACATGAAATTCATCAAAATATACTGATTTACTGAAAGAATGTGAATTCACATGATCATTTTAAATGATGAATTACGGTACCTCATTTTCAAGCCACATAAAGAGTTCACACAGTGCTACAGCATCACGTATCTGAAGAAAAAAAAACACAGTTGGATAATTTTGCATCATATTTACTGAAAACTACTTTTGATTTGATTCACAAAATTTTGTCTTCGCTACCATGTGAATAAAATAGAGAATTGATGTTGGTATCAGTACAAGTAAGATCTGACTTACATGGGACTGCCTCATGCCTTCAATTTCTACATCATTCTTAATAGCCTTTGCTAGGCTCAATGGAGACGGCTGAATAATTCGTCTTTTCTAAAATAAAAGCATAACATTGGAAGATTATAGCAGTTGCTAGTTTACAGATAGACGAACAAAACAATGCAAAATTAAGTGACTACCCAAGTTTTTCAATAAAATAAGTATGAAGAAATTTAATATGCAATTTCAAGAACATCATAAATCTGAGTTCTTCACACAGAGAGACATAATGAGATTTGTGAAATTTACTCACCATGTTGCCCTCAAGTGAGCACTTACAAACAGTATCTCTGAGCGTAAATGTATGGCTTATACATACTGCAAACTGTATACTTTTCACTGCTGGAAATTTTTTATGGCATTCGGGTAGACATAATTTTGCCAAAGTTACTGACAAAACATTTTGTAGGGAATTTTTACTTCTACAGAATTTCATGATTTTCACTTTGTCAACAATTTTTTTTTTTACATTGAGAAGAGAAGATCAAACAGACCATGGAAGTTGTACAGAACATGCATTTTACACTAAATACAAATTCACAAGACTTGATTGTCACATAGACTGAAGACATAATATTGAAAATCTGACAAGTTAATGGGACAGCAGCCACAACTTTTATTTTTGTAGAAATTTTCTTTGAATGAAACACATTCATGTGCATTAAGAATATACAAGTACATACACAATAAAGGGATAAAAAATGGCGTTGTTACTTCGGTACAAGACTCACAACAGCATAGCTTGATTTCCCACTGACTGCAGAATAAAAACACAATTGTTTTAGTTACTGTCTAGAAATATATAATGAACATTTTCCTATATTATGTCCCGACAAAACAAACTTACAGAAGACTGCAAACTATCGCAAACTTATTAGTATTCAAAATTCTGTAAAATGAACAACAAACTTTTTTAGGTCACCACCCAAAAAATAGTCATGTTTTATGTGTGCCAGGGAAAAATGCGCGTGTCACTTCTTTTCTGTGAGAATTATACCAATTATGACCTATTTTTATGCCATACGTTTAATTCCTGTAAATTCACAAATCTATTTGTCATATGCAGATTGTAAACTATGGTAGTATTCATATGTATAAATCGATACAGTTGTATTCATATGCATAGTGTAATCACTATAAATAACTGTGCATTTACAACCATATTCTGCCTCCGAACCCCCAATATTAGAGAGGGACACCCACCTAAATACAACAAGTCATTGTCAATGGCATAGTTTTTTGTGACCTTGTCAAACAATGAAAAGCATAGTCAGATTATGTTTAAATATTGGGATAGTATTAATAGCATATTAACTAAAATGTGCATGAAACAGGTATAAAGAATAGTTTGAATGAAAGTGGTCAGGGCATGCCCCAGAAACTGTTAATGACATGACCAAATGTTAATTTTTTTGGACAATTAATGGCTGTCAGTTGAAGGTCAACAAAATAAAACAAAGCAATATTTTGCCTTTGTACAAAATTTAACCAAATCTGTACAATCATCTCTGTAAAATAAGCAGGACACTCGTATAAAACAAAATGGCTACCAGTCCACCATTTTGAATCGAATCACGAAAAAAATGGCGTGCATCAGTAACCCACCATGACTGATGTCAATGCCTAGTATGAATGAAATCTGGTCTAGGCATATTCAAGAAAAGGTTGACGACATGTCCAAATGTAGATTTTTGGGACAAAAATGGCCACCAGTTGGTCAAAGGTCAATCAACTCAAAAATAAATTGATGTGCACATGTCTTCCAATATGACTTGTCTTTGTACCAGCTTTGAAGAGAATCTGTCCAGGCATGTCTCTCAGAAATGATGACGAATGCACAGACGCATGGATGAACGGAACCCAAAACATAAGTCCCCCTTTCGGACTATGTCCAACGGGAACTAAAAACAGGACCCATTTGTGTCAGTGCTCACTACATGAAAATGCTATCACAATCTCTGACTGCACATAACTTATAAACAGGCACTGTATTAGTTTATTTAACTGCATGTAACGTGTGAGCTTTATTAGAGATTGAAAGCATGTTTTTTTTGTAAATATTTACTGACATGAGCTGCTGTTATACTATTGGTCAGCAAACAGTTAGAACCATGCATAATAAGCTATATGGAAACTTTGCCTCCAAGTCATCTTTAAAGATGAGACAAATAATAGCATAGAACGCAACAAATACAATCAATACATACCCATGTTTTCGGTTCTGTCGTCTGTACATAGATATTCCCAAAGAAACTACCTAATGCACCATATGGATGAATCGTTACTCGGAGAGCAGAGTCATCGCCATTGCTTGCCTCATTGCTATTCAGATGTTTTCGAACAGCATTGTCGATTTTAGCTTCATCAATAAAAAGACTGTAAAATGAGGAAATAAACACACTTAAACTTTTCACCACCAGACTTTCTCGTCCAAATATTTCTGCACTAGAAGTTCTTCAATATTTCTGGAAATGAACTCTAATTTGGGTCAATTTTTAGTTTTCACTCCAAAAATTTGGCAATTTTGGCCCAATCTTCTGAAGGAAAGTGCAGACTATAAATGGTACTATTTTGTGAATTCGTGATAAAAAAAAGGGATTGGTGGTGAAAAGGTTAATTGTAATATCAATTGGTGTACGATATTTTACATGCTTTCAGCAAAGAACCAAAGCTGAAAGTGCAGGAGTGAAATGACACTTTTTTACTTTAGAATATTCGCATGGCAACACTCTTGGGCGATTCCATTCCTAAATGTGGATATTCCAGTTATGTTCAAATTCAAAATTGCTCGCAAATTTAACATCTGCAGATTCAAATTTACTTATACTAAAAAATATTCAACATTCACTAGTTTTAGATACACACACTTTAAGTCAACAATTCGATACAGCAAATCGTTCAACAGTAATCCCCACATCAAATATTTGCATATACAACAACAATAACATTTCTTAAGTACTCGCACTGTGTTCTCTGTGTTATCAGTCGCTACTTTTCACACTATATGCTCTTTCTTGCGATATGTTTTGTTATTTTGGTGTTGATGCACAACAATAAAGAGGTCATTTGTAGCTAGTACTGGAGATAATGCATGGTATTGCTCAAAGCAATAGTTTTTTTTTTTTACGCTAAATGCTTGAAAAAATATCAACATAGTGTCTCACAATATACTTGAAAAAATGATTCCCCCAGAAATAATAAAACAGAAAAATGAAAAAAATATAGCTGAGGAAAAAAAAAAATAAGTATACTGGCAATACTAATCACACTAATAAAGAACACAATTAATTAATTAATTGAATTGCCTAGTGGGAATATAATTAATATGATTATAAAAAAAAACTAGATTTTCCTGGTGGGGATCACAGAAAACAGTTTTTTTTTTCAAATTAGTCTGGTCTGTGATCTTGCCATACTGTATAATCAAATACTGATATAAATATCATATCTCAAATACTTGCATTTGGGTGGAAATAAATGAGAAATTGTCATTCATAATTTATAATTAGTAACAAGAAAGTACCAGGATGTGTGACCTTTTAGAGGTCATGCATACATGTGTATGGCTTATTCATCCACAAGTTTTGTGATCAGTTTCCTCTTCATTAAAAAAAAGCATAATATTAATTGTATAAATAAAAGTGCAAGTAATACAATGTTACCATGGTAACCAGCATAGATTTCTTACTTGACAGAATCTTTACTGATTACTGCATACGAGTAGAAGACAGGGTTGAACTGCACATCAGAACCACGGAGATTAAACAGCCCTGTAATTGTAAATAGTTATGAAGATCAAAGGTTGAAAAAACCAAGAGCAGGCAGCTTCCTTGACTTCAAAAGTAGAAATGTTATTTTAAAATCTAAACATGATGCTTACATGCTATCTCGTCCAATGCAGTGACAACTAAATAATCTGCACCCTTTTCTTGCATCTGCTCGCGGACAGCTACAACTTTGTCTTGCCAAGATTTACCTAAAATAAAGTCACAATGATAATTCAATTGTGGACCAATCACACAAGT